ACTATCAAAATAATAAAGAAATAATCTTCCTCGGCTTAAAAGAATTAGAAAAGAAAATTCTCTATCAAAGTGTGTATCATAGCTTTAAAGGTCCCATGTATGAAATAATTTGTTTACAAATTTTTTGTTATCAACTTACTTTACATACAAGATTATTTGCTTGGGAATAAGTCACTTTTTTTTCAGTATCCAAAAACTTAAAATAATATAGTGAATCCTAAATTTGATATAAATAGTAAATGCATTTACAGCTGCATTTTTTTTTATATATGGAGGATTAGAATTGGAAATTTAAAAAAAAGAACATTGTCAAACCGGTAGATTTTTCAAAAAAAGCAGTACTCTTACATAAATTTGCTAAATAGATAAAAAAACAAAATTAACCATCCGATTTTACAAATGATCTGTTTGTAATATACGCAGATAAATTTGAATACAAATTATTTGTTATAACCTTTTTAAGACAAGAAAAAAATGAACATTTTGAATCTAATATTTTAACCAATATCTTAAAATACAAAGAAATGTAATTTAATCATTATAATAAAATACGTATTTATAATTTAAAATGAAGTTAACTATGACATTCTAATAAGTAAGATTGTATTATGATCAATTTTTATGGAAATCGATAATCAGAAAATAATATAAAATTAAAAAAATAATAAAACAAGGTTCGGTAAGATGTTTTTGATTTTTTTTATAATACTTCCTGCTACTGATTTTTCAACAAAATGGGTTATAATTTAAATCATATCATATTTATTTATAAGTTTCTCTTAAAGATTTGTAGATATTATGACTTACACATTATGTGTTTAAATTTCTATATAATTTGAAAAACGTATAACTTATTTTAATAAATGTAACTATTATAATTTCAAAATAAAATACCTTATGATCAATCGATTTTCTATTCTCACTAATAAATAAAAATAATACTATGTATTTGATACTTTGTTTTAAATTGGATGTACATTTTATCCCCAATTGTTCTGTTGTTAGTGTCTAATCAAATCCAAATTTAATAAAGATATTGTCTTTAAATACTGACTATATTATAAAATAAAAACAGTTAAATATCTCAATAAATTACTGACATTTTAGTTTTACTCTGTAGGTTTTTGTACTGATGTTATCATCAGTCAATTCATTTCTGAATTAATGTTGTAAAAATTATTATTCAATCTTTTTGATTTTAAAATATTTATGAATTATAAAAAATAGTAATAGTTTGCTAATTATGTTAACCAAGAAGCAGATGTACACGCAAAATATTTTCTATGTTCCAAATGATTCTGTTTCTAGATTTTAGAGAACAATTTACTTGAGCCCAACTCACTAGCAACTTAAAGAATAAACTTTAATATGAAATAAATAACAAAATAATATTTCTAAATTGCTTAAACAATGACAAGATTTTTCATTGAGGAAAAAAAAATATGATACTATAAAAAATAAGTAATTTGTATATTTCAATGGATTGTTTTTGTTTTTATAACACTGATTTTTGTGTAGTCCTATTCTACCTCTCCTCATGATTTATATATAATTAATCTACCCATATAGTTGCCTGATATAAAAGTATTACTAACAGTTAACACCTGAGCCGTAATTAATTTATAATACTTGGTGTTCACGTTGTAACAGTTTTCAAACTTTTCGCTAATCTAAATGTAATGTTTTGATAGTTATAAAGTCAAAAAGTTGTGTAATGAGTATAAAAAACTAAAAGTAATTTAAAAATTAGTAATTTGTCTTTTATTATTATCTAATTATCTTATATAAATTAAAACATAATGTCAATTCTTTGTTACATTTTGATTTAATATAATATTCAATAAATAAAAAAAAAAAAAACAATGAATACTTTCTTAAGAAATATTTATGAAAAAAAATGTATTTTATCTTACTTAAGTTTTACAATGCAATAATAAACACAGTTTTTAATTATAATACCCATTACTGTAATATTTATAAAATGAATGAAAAAATTAAATGAAACAAAAATTGATATAATAATAAACAATATTAATTGACTTTTAAATATCGGTGAAGTAATTTATTTAATCAGGAAAAAAGTTTTGGTTTCAAAAACACTGTGATTTTTTAAAAAAATTATTTAGACATTAAAAAAAAAAAACTTGCATAGGATTGAGATTTTAATGACTGTTGTTTCATTTTCAAACATGATTATAAATCAGTTTATTAAAAAACTGGTTGATTTTCTGTGCTTGATCAAAGAAAACATCGGTCAATTTACAAAATCACAATCAACATTATACCTTAAATTATTAATAATTGAAATTGTCACAGCTTTCTGCACCATTTCAATTAATAAGAGAAAAAGAATACTACATTCAACTAAAATTGTATTTAAAAATCATCAAAGTGTTTCGATAAAAACACTTGACTAGCTTCTGTAGTCAATATCTTTATGATTTTAACTTTAGTATTTCCAAATATTGATTTCAAACAATGTTTTAGCTCTGACACTGACACTGTGTCTAAACTCAATTTATATCCGTAATCATTTTCAGGACTTTCTGTGCCTAGAGGATTAGAAAGTTTTGATTGATTTACTTTTGAGAGTTCTGATTGGAGTTTTATTTTTGTTGTCCTATAAACTGCCATATTATCAAGAGGTTCCAATTTTTCTGATAGATTTGAACTGTAGCCAAGATCACTTAAACTTTTTTGATAATTTTGAATGAATATATCACTTATCCGAAGATACTGTAATGTTATTCCCCAAACAAAATGTGTTAANACAACATTATAATACTTACTTTTTCTTCAAAGAGAGGAATAATTAGTAAAGCTGTTATACCATGACATTTTCTCAATTCTATTGCCACAAAATCAGTGATTTCAGCGTTGATTAATTCCAATTTCTTTAAATTTTTCATAGATCTAATGGCACCTAAATTTTTTGATAAAAATCGTGTATAACAATTTTCTAATCTTAAGGATCTTAAATTGGTAATTTTTTTTAAAAACATTGTGAAATCATCAGGTAAGTTTTCACAGTCTCCTATTTCTAATGTTTCCAGGTTAATTAGAGTTGTTCCCAAAATGTTGAAGAATTCTTCAGGGAATGATTGAATGGATGTTAACGACTAAAAAAAAAAAAATACAGTTAAATTAAAAACACAAAGAGTAATACTATAAAGTACTACTTTTAGTTAAGTTTACTACTAAAGTAATACTATAATAAAATCTATAAATTATACAATTAAACAAATGAATAGTGTACAAATATAATTAGTTAAATAGTAATATTGTACATTTATCTATATTTAAAGGACAATTAATTTAATTGAAAACAATTGGTGGTTCATAAGAATATTATATACTTTTCCATCTACAACTAGAATTATAATTTTAGTTAATCTTTATGTAAAACTATAATTGACTTACCAAAGTTTTTAGGTTGGTCAAGAATGTTAGTTCTTGCGATAATAAGAGTTCAATTTTCGTTTCACCACTAATTCTTAATTCTGTTAGATTTGTCATGTTACTCATACAGTTCATGTTTAAGGATATAAGTTCATTTACAATTTGTGCGTTATCATGTGGATTTCTGAAAAATAATGAAATAAAATTAGATTTAATTTGTTTAAGTATAAAGAAATCATATTCTAAATATTACTTTATTAAAGTAACATTCAATTTTTTAAGTTGTTGTAATGAATTTATCACATTATGAAAAACCCTGATTGGACATTTATACAGCTCAAGAACTTCTAATTTAGTTGCATTTGGTATAGCTATAGAAAAATTTGACCAAAAAGTGTCCAAATCCTGAACTGATGTAGGCAATACCATGCCCCTAGTTTCCAATGAAATAGATCCTTGCACATTAATAAGTTCTACCAAATCCTTCCAGTTATCAACCATCATATTTTTTAAATAAACATTTTTCCACTAGAACAAAAATGAACATTTTAAACTAAAATAATAAGTCAATGGTAAAATTATAAGAAAATTATTTAAAAAATAAGGCTCAGATTTAAATACATTGATAACTTCCATGATATCTATCGACTGCACAAAATGATCAAATAAACACCATATCTTATATGTTATAATGAAGAATGATTTATTGCAGATTATACCACATTTTTTTTTAATAAATATTAAAAGAATTATTTTTATTATAATCTGCATTATAAAAAATGAAAAAGTTTATACAAATAATCCTATATTATTAAGTTTTCCATATCAATTCTACAATTCAAAATTGTTCTTACCAAACATGAATCCAAAGCAATATTGCTCCAAGAAGAACACACTTTGGATGCAGTTATTAGATCTTCGATATTTAAATGTGCAAAAACACACTTCAATGAATCGTTCATATCATTTAAAAATTGCATTTTTGAATCTTGACCACTCATTATTGTCTGCAACTCATTCATTTCAGATGCTCTGTAATAGTTTAATAAAAATAATAAAAATCATAATTAGTTCCTGGTTTTAAATTGAAAATGTTTTTTTTTTTTTTGTTTATATGTTCTCTTCAGGCACATATAAATACACACACATAAATATATATATATATATACTACCTTGTAACATTCAAACAAAAAAGGTATTTGAACTTGAATAAAATAATAAGTAAATACAAATAGCGGTTGAAAGAAATCAAGGAAGTAGATTTTCCTCTCAAATCCGAAAAAAAAAGAGAACCAATTGAATTAAAGTATTAAAAAAAATTTTTTATTCTCATTTATAAAAATATGACTAATGACCAATGCTACTTTATGCCTGGTCAATATTACATTTCACAAAAATAAAAATAAAATTATATACTGGATATCACATGAAGCCTGCATGAAAACTTCTCCATCTTATGTTAATAATTTATTATTTTCCTTGCATATGTATTATGGATTGATTGAGGAAGGTTTATAAAGAAAGTGTAAGGATAACAACCACTTACATTTAGCATTAATATTGTGAAATCAAATTAAAAACTAACCATCAAAAGCTGTTAAAGTAATAAAAATATTAAATATAATGTATATGCTACCGTTGTTTAACATTTGTAGAAGATTCCATATCGGGTATTGGAAGAGAAAATGTTGACTGAGAATCTAGACTATGTCCAGAATGACTATCTTCAGCTTGAGTTTCCTCAGATTGCATTTCCACAGCTTGTCTCCTCCCAGATTGCAATTCTTCAGATTGCATTTCCTCTGCTTGAATTTTGTCGGCTTGCATTTCTTCAGCTCGAATTCCATCAGCTTGCATTTCCTCAGTTTCACTACACTCAGCTTGCATTTCCTCAGTATGACATTCCTCTGCCAGATTTTTTTCAGCTTGCATTTCCTCAGCTAGACTTTCCTCATCGTCACTCCACTCAGCTTGCATTTCCTCAGCTTCACTACACTCAGCTTGCATTTCCTCAGTATGACATTCCTCTGCCAGACTTCTTTCAGCTTGCATTTCCTCATCTTCACTCCACAAATCTTGCATTTCCTCAGTTTGACCTTCCTCTACCTGACTTTTTTCAACTTTAATTTCCTCAGTTTGACTTCCATCAGCTTGCATTTCCTCAGCTTCACTTTCATCTGCTTGCATTTCCTCAGTTTGACTTCCATCACCTTGCATTTCCTCAGTTTGACTTCCATCACCTTGCATTTCCTCAGCTTCACTTTCATCTGCTTGCATTTCCTCAGTTTGACTTCCATCACCTTGCATTTCCTCAGCATCATTCCACTCAGCTAGAATTTCCTCAGCTTGATTCCACTCAGCTTGCATTTCCTCAGTTTGACTTCCATCACCTTGCATTTCCTCAGCTTCACTTTCATCTGCTTGCATTTCCTCAGTTTGACTTTCTTCTGCTTGACTTCCATTAGTTTGCATTTCCTCATCTTGACTTTCTTCAGCTTGCCTTTCTTGTGTGGATCTAGTTGTATTTAAAGGCTCTAAATTATTTAAAACAAAATAAAATAAATGTAATTATTCATTTAAAATTTTCAAAAAATTTAAACTATTTTTGAGCTATATATAGATATTTTATTTAATATTGCCAGTTGTATACATAATTTTTATTTTGTAGAATAAATGTAGGCAATGATCCACATTGTTTCAATATAATATTGATTTTACTGTAATATAACAAAAGTATTGTTGAAAAAACAATAATATTAACTGTGCTTTTGCTCAGAATCGTTTTATGTTTAAAAAAATTAATTTTTGCTATTAAATTACCTATAACTGCATTTGCCTCCAGTATTTCAGGCCTAGGTCTCCGGCCCAATAGTTTTGTATTCTAAAAACACATTATAATATATATAGAAATCAATATTAAACAACATTAAATAAAATTTTCAACATCTTACTTTAGTTAAAGCATTTCTAATTAATTCTTTTGATTCATCCATTCCAATAAGTTGTTTCAAGAAAGTAAAATTTTTCAGGGTTAATTTAGTAGTCTTTGGTTTTAAATAGCTCTCTAAATCTTTTAATGATCTAAATTTTTTGTTGGTAGGACTATAATAATATACATCAAATTGTATTTTACTTTTATTTTTAGGGTTCCTCTTTACAAATTCCCGCCTCCATCCTAAAAAAAACAACTTATTAAAGTAAATCATAATTTGAGTTGGGTAGATGTAGTGCAGACATGAAATCCCAAAAGACCCCCCTATTACAATGTCTGGTCAGCACTAATATATAACTGGTGGTTAAATTTTTCACTAAAACATGATTTCACTGACAGTGCAAGTCAACACCTTACAGTATATCAGTATTCATAAAGAATCAAACTAAAAATTAAAAGTAGCTTACAGGAAGAATTGGATAAAAACAAAAATAAACAGCAAAATAATATACAAATACACTTACCATGATTGAATGGAAGCTTAAATCTTGGATCATTTATATCATCATTATTGGAATTAGGGCCAAAACTGCCAGGACGACTTCTTGATGAAGATGCCATGGTTAATTCTTTAAATATAAAACAAAATTCAATTTGCATATAAACACATGTTTTTTTCATAAAATGTTTATTTTTATAGAAAAAAAAAAGGGAAATGTTACTGTATAAAATATTTTGAATTATGCTGTAAAATATGGACTAAATGTAAAAATATAAGTTAATATCATTACAGATTTTTCACTTTTCACATTTAGAAATATGTTTTTTGTCTTTCATGAACTATTTAACAGTAAATATACCTTTCTTGAGGTCTATTGTTCATACAAATCATAATAAATCCATAATCTCACTAATATAACAAAATAATACAAGTGACAGCTAATAGAAATTAGTATGATTTAATCTAAGACCAGAATATCAATGATTCTTTTTTATTACATCAAATGAAATTTCAAAAAAAACAAAAAAACATATTATGAGATTTCTATTTAAATTTATAACAGTTCAAAGTAGTTTATTTCAGCGTTAGGATCAGGGTTTTTTAATGTAAATGTATATTGTTTAGATAAAGTTAATACATTTTTTTCTGTTTCTTTATTTGAGTAAAAATTACCAAAATTATGTAAATTTTGATCAAAGTCATACAATTATAAATGTTTTATTTCCTATATTAATGCCATTTAATTTTGTTTCTTAAATATCTTTATTAGGTAATGCATAAACAAATTTACATATTATAATACATTTTTTATGTTTGAGTATATATGGTCATATTCTATAATAATTTTGCATAAAAACGGTTCTTAGTCTTTATATTAATATTACTGTGAAACACTATAGAATTTTACTATTATTTTAAAGGACTATGAAACATCTATTTAAAATTTGGTGATATGGTTTAATCAAAAATATTGTTTTACAGTTATCATAAATATGAGTAGACATAAAATGTATTAAAAAAAATTAACAAACACTCCAATTACCCCTACTTAAAACTATAGTAAGATTTACAAATGTACTAATAATATTACAATTTGAATTTATTACTCTAATAGTAATTATTATTTCACAAAAACAGGTTCCAACACCAATCATTTACAGAATGGTCATCATAATAAGTCATACTGAAGTGCTTTAGTATGAGGCATTATATGGTGTAATACAATAGGTAGGTATACTTTTAAGTAAAAATATAATATTAAATTATTAATATAAAAATTAATAATATAATACAATATACATGTAGCATAGTATAATTAATACTCTATTCAAAAAGCACCAGGTACAACAGGTCACTACAAGGACATAACATATAATAATAAATAAAGATCCTCATATCAGTATCTACCTAAATATCGGCTATATTACCTGATACTGGATTTGGCAACTACCTATAATACTGCATAAAGAGAACGCCACACCGATATCTACTGTCTCTCTCAGTCTAACAAACGCGAGACAACAAATTTGCATTCAGTAGGACACATTTTATTCCATTTTATTTTGGTAGATAATAGGTCAATTTTGTGCTTTATTATTAAAACCGACGGCACAGATATGTCCAACTGAAATCAAATTTGCTAAAAAAACTGATGCGAAATTTGGAGTCAACATCCTTAAAAATTATAGGTTTAATGTCTCGCACAATCATATGTATTTTTATTTTATCGTAATTAATTTATATACGTTAGAAATTGGTTTCATTCCACTGTGCGATGGAACATACAATTATGGACCAAAATGACTAACTTACTCGTGTGTGTTCCTTGTAGAGCGTAGACCGGTCCAGGAACGTAAAATACGTAAAACAGAAATGTTTAATAAGATAATTATTGACTATTGTTTTGTTTTTGACGTACGATTATGAGAGAGATTTCTGTAAGAACACGAACTTCATAGAACATCAGAAACAAATGACTTATAATTTAGGTCTAACCTAACATTAGCAAACACGTACCGAGTGGTGAAGAGAGATACATAGATACAAGAGAGAGATAATCGACGCAGTGTTGTCAACCTCAGCACACCAAACAATTTGATGTGTGGATCGCACACGTCTTATTGCGTGGGTAGAGGGTTGGTGTTTGGTCAATTCTACCCCAGTATACCTGATAAGGATAAAATCACAAAATATAACCTATATTATTCCACTATTTCCGATAACATTCTAAGTATTATTTCGTCAAGAACTTTTTACTACTTCTATAAGATAACAGCGGGGTTACCATGATGGTGAGGCGAATGGATCTATCGCCCCCATGGTCATTATGCTTCAAATTTTTTGCAATGTAATAGTATAGTTACGAATTTTATGATTTATAATATTATGGTTGTTGTGGTATACGTTGTCTTATTATTACTACCTATAAAATTACCTAAAACGGAAATAAACATGAATTTTTAACTGAATCTATCATTTTTAGGTTTTAAGAAGATCAGTGGCGCCAATTTATATAGTGTACGGTCCCTGAGGTATGTGGTGTCTGAGTGTATGAATATAATGTATGTACAACATATGCAATAATATCAATTTTTAATTTTGTCCCACGTTTATGAGATGTGCAAAACTTGGTAGAAAACCTATTGAACATAAGACTTGGCTTTATCGAGCAAAGCGAGAAATGTATTTGTAATACTAAAATGTGTACTGATTTTTTAAATTATGAACTTACTGAGGGATCTATTGGTTTTACTGTAATGTTTTTTTTTTGTATTTGCAGTGAGCAACTTTTCAAACAGAAAACTTGTTCCAATCAAATAATAAAATACTTCCTAGGATAATGAGGACAGATGTAGCCACTGTTATAGGTAATTTAATGTATATCTGAAAGCTACGATAAACGATTGCTTACGAAAGAACGATTCTGAGCGGAGTTTAGTTAATAGTGAGGCTTTATCATTAGTATATATACATGAGACATATTATAGTAAAATAATTTATTAGGCTCTTTATATTTTCTTTAATAATATTTGTTTAATGTTGTACCGATGTTCCAGGTTTTCTTATGTTTTTTCCCAGTTTTTCACATTTGTTGAGAAAACTTCGGCAAAAATCGATAACCAGCCACTTTAAAGTAACTCCCTAGTGAAATTTCTGTTTAGAGTAATTGCTATCATTAAAATCTGGAGCAAAATTGCTGGTTGAATAGTTTTTCATAGAAAACAAAATAAAAATAAACATCTTTGTAAAACCATAAGCTTCTTCGCTCCATTCAGAATCTAAAATGAAAGTTTTTTGTTGCATTTCGAATTTTTCGGTATTTTGGGGAAGTCATATTTTATTTTTCAAGCAGTTTTTTAATACTTGAGACGCAAAATGAAAATAGACAAATATATATAGCGTTAATGTTTTGTTATTTTAAATTATTAAGAATTATATATTTTTTTTTTTAAATAATTACTTTTAATTAAATATTGTTAAATATTGCTTCACTGAAAAAATTAAAAGAGACCTTTTGTGTTGCACTTTATTAAAGTTTGTTGAGAAATAAGATAGTCATATTTTGATTTTTTATGTAGCTTTCTAAATACCTGTAAAACGATTCTGAGCGGAATTTGGTATTACATGTTTTGAAAGACACAATAGAAAAGACGTAATATTTACGATTTTCGCCTAATTTGAAATTAAAATTATAATTAAAAAATTCTACATTAAACTAAACTTTTTCTTACTATCCAATTAGTACAACTTATAATGAACCCCCTGATAAATTTTTCGGAAAAAATCTGAGCAATATTTCTGGTAGATATTATATATACATAAAAATGTAATAATAATTAACATCACTATAAAACCAATATATTTATCGCTTCACTCATAATCTAAATATACTTTTGGGAGACGATGTTAAAGGTATGTTCATAATTGAAAATTAGTAGTATTGTTACAAAACCTGATTTTTAAGGTCAAACAGAACCGAACTTTCCTTAAAAATTAACGAACATGAACCGAACTGAACCCACACATTATATTATTCCAACCCAAACGAAACTGAACTTTTGAAATATTTTGTCAAACTCGAACTCAAACATCAAAAATTAAGAAGGTTATCTTGTTAAATTTGTCGGTTAAAGTTATGTAGAAGTATATTACCTGAACAGACAAGTATTCACGGTGGTAGGCGTGATCCATAGGCGTAATTACGAGATTACGCATATGGTTATGCAAAGTTGTCGGCCTGATCCACGTTTCCGGATGAAGCCGCCAGTCTTTTGATACCGTTGGAAATCCCGTCGAACGGCTAAACGGCTCAAGTTTAGTTGCCGTGTAACATCACATTGTCGCATCCCTAATTCAGGTAGTGCTACCACTTGGACGGCTTCGTTAGCGGCGGTATCAATTTTAATAAGTTTTTTAGAACTGATTGTTTAAAGTGTATTCACGCATCTTCTTTTCAGTGTATTAGGTAGTGAATGACCTACTATTTGACACGTTAAACTGCTGTTTATATAGCCCCAGCATATAAGAATAAGATAGAGCATATTTATAGGTACCTACATTTTTTCTAATGTCCCGTATACTCGGAATACAATTATTGTTTATGCAACGAAACTATTATCGGATAAGGGGTTATTAACTGTACTTTCAATTGATATCTATATTGTCTGTATTAAATGTGCTGATTCGGGGAAACGCTCGTTTCAATGAATGCCAATCCCTCAAATACCTGAATAAATCCGTTTGAATAAAATACATATAGTAATACGTCGTATTATTCAATTTGTTCGTAGTTATCAAGTTCGTATATTGCTATCATTTTAACGGTAATGTGACCACGACGGATGAATTCGGTCGTACAATACAATTATTATACGGTAAAGATACCTACATTATAAATTATTACCTCAAGGTAATTGCCAATTTTTTTTTCATCCCGGTGTTAATGGTTCTTTTAAACAACGGTAAAATAAAATAATATTGTTGACGACAGAAGAGAAACCTCGTAATTTGTTGCTATCGGTAGAAAGGTACCGTATAACAAGCTTTTCAACAAATCGTTCCTTGCAAATAATAGACCAATTCATTTTCTTTTCGAATTGTTAAAGTAGGTAAGTAATTCATTGTACCTATTCTATCAGATACCTATTATTTTCATTTAAAATTATTTCGAGATCCATAAAAATATTAAAAATTACACGGGACGAGTCTAAAAAGCAGACTTATTGTACAAAACCAACGAAGAATACCTAATAAATTGATAGAGTTTTATTTTACTGTAATATTTGTGCAATTATGTTTGTTACATACTAAATAAAAAACACCAGTATACTTCTCGTAATTATATTCCTAGCGTGCTCTTGTGGTTGCGATAGAGAAATCATTTCATATTTTCATCTATTTTACACTTTGTTTTCCTACGTGTACGAAAACTATGTAATAAAAATGAAATTGATTACATTTGACGTAGATTTATTTTTAATTTTTTGGGTAAAGTACTCAAAATATACGGAAATTACTCTACATTGTAGATAAAAGAAAATAATAATATTATAGTAACGCCGTTGAGCTAGTGAGTAGCACAGATAGTCTGCGATAGTAGCAATGATTAAATATATACTTAATTAATGATAGTAGTTACAGTAATATAATTATCAGAAAAATTCGACTCCGTGTACGAGTTCGTCATGTTTAGGTGTACCTATTCTGTGTAAGGTGGCTCACTTGAATGGTCAGATTGATAACAACGAAAACCATGACAAAATTCGATTTTGTCGTTGTACATACCTACATTTCGAACAACATAACGAGTACGTACGCATATTAGTGCACCTAATTATTAACTTGTAAAATGTAAATATACTATAGTACCGTTCTGTTTCTATATCTATTCGCAAAAAAAACATGTCTTTCGCAATTCAATTTTACGTTGGGTAATTTACATAATATTATTCATTATACCCGATTGTATCCGTAGCGCACTCGTGTGGTCAAACCTGTCGCAACTCTTATTACAGATCGTTTCAATTCTTGTATAACATAATAATATTATGTTTTCTGCGTTTAACGACTTGTATTATAGGTATGCAGGCATTGTCCATTGGGTTATTCAAATATCAGTTAGTTATTTTCGCAAATTGTTATGTGATGCACTCATGTTAATCATAATTAAAATTGTATTATTTATTATATAATTATTCAACTAAATACCCACACCTATAAAGTCATTTTATATTTTGATATTAACAAAAACAAAAAATTGTAATTTATACTTTTTATTTCATGTACATTTTTAACGTATTTGATATTTTGAAAATACATCAAAATATACAAAATGCAATGGTAATAAAATTTGTATGGATAGAGCGATACATAAAGAAAGTTGTGTAAATTTATAAGGTACATAAAATGCAAAAACTAGTTGATTCACTGTTGATAAGACGCCACAAATGTACTTAATGTTGATTCGACAGGTAAAGGTGGCAATATTCAACATTGAATATATGAAGATTTTGAGACAAATATATTTGTAACATATAAATATAAACATGAATATTTGGATATTATACATTGAATAACATGAATATAATAATTATTGAATAGTTATAAAATGTAGGATAAATAATCATAAACAGCTATTTAAACAATTCCGTCTCTATATAATAATGAAAAAAAAAAAAATTATTTTTAAAACACAAATGCAATGTCTTGTTCTGAATATTTTTTATTTTGTATGTGCTTATTAGACTGCCTTAGTCTTCACAAAGCTAATGCATCCTAGTCTAGGGAAAAAAGACAAAGAAAAAAGGCATAGAAAAAAAAGACAAAAGTATTATAGAAAACACATTTGTTTTCAATAATTATTTCAATGAAATTAAATAAGTGTTAATAGGTATCTATACAATAATAATTTAAAATCTATTTAATAATATAGATAACTAAAATTATTAATATTATGTACCTACCTATTTAGGTTTTTAATATTATAGCATTACCTTTTATAAACACAAGTAGTAATATAATATATACCTCTGGTATTTTCCAACTTAGGCGCTTATAATTATGTATTAGATACCTAAACTAGTGTATATCTAAATTTTACTTTTTATTATTTTTGATGAAATATTAAAATTTATCTAAATTTAAGTTTGAAATAGTGTAATTCATGCAGTGTATTGTTAGTTGTTTCAGTTTTCTCGTGTCTTGTTCATTTAAATTTAAAGTAAAATTTTTGATTCTTGTTTATGGAAATTATTTTATCTTTCAAAAATAAATAAAAATGTTCTGGAAAGGACATATGTTGGGAAGATGCTATACATTTTTGTTATCAAAATGGCCCGGAACAATGTACTCCAAGTTGAATAATTTAGATCCTAATGTAGGGATCTTACACAACCATGAACCAATAGAGACGATATTGAAGTTTCAACATTTTTATTAAAAATGAACGAAAACGCTAAATCAACCCAAGTACTTCCAGTTGAAATCTATGCAGAAGGAATTAATTTACTTTCGACCTTATGTAAAGCTCGAATTCCAGTTATAAAAAGGACTCTCCGAAACCAACATTCTAAAAATATTCCAACTAGAAAAATTGCTATTGAAGGTTAGTAATTTGATCCAATTTTAATTTAGTTTTTTGTGAAAAAATATAATATGTTTAAAATTAATTGAAACAAATCCATAATTAATTATGTAAATATCGACAGTATTAATGTATTAATATATATATATAAATATAAATAAATTCTATTAATAAATTAAATTAAATTTTGGTATGTCAGTGGACAACTACTGTTGTACCAAACTGTTTATGACTTTTACTACACAACATAAGGGTAGATTCAACAAATCCAATTGCGATATTCGCTACTGACGATGAATTAAAACTTTTGAAAGAATCCAATGAATTGTATTTGGATGGTAATTTTGTTTTAGCTCCTAGAGAATTTAAGCAGCTCTGTTTTTAGAATACAAGTTAAATCCGTTTTTATTACTGCTGTTTATGTTATTATGTATAAAAAAAAAAAATCAAAACACATATGAAAAAATGCTATCCATTATAATGGATGCTTGTTCAGATAGAATTGTATATCCAGATCCTTTGAAATATTCCCTCCTTCTACTTGGACTGCATATGAAACTACGTTAAATAATGGTGAATGTACAAATAATCAAACGGAAGGTTAGAACCACCAGTTCTCTAAATTAGTGGGTCATAACCATCCAAGTATAAAGACTATTAAAATGAAATTCATGCTTTGTCAATATATATATATATATGTCATATTATAGTAAAATAATTATATAGGCTATACATATTTTCTTTAATAATATTGTTTAATGTTGTGCTGATTTTCCCAATTTTCCTATGTTTTTCTTAGTGTTTTGCTGGGAAAACTAATGAGAAAATCGAAAAAAATTGCCTCTCTAAAGTACCTCTTTAGTGAAATTACCTTTTAGAAATTTTGCTATCATTAAAAGTTGGAGCAAAATTGCTGGTAGAAAAGCTGTGCACAGGAAAAAAAAGTAATATTTTAGTAATATATTTTGTGTATTTTTCCATTTTTCAAGAGTTTTCTCATAAAATTTGAAAAATCAGTACAACATTAAACAAATATTATTAAAGAAAATATGTATAGCCTATATAATTATTTTACTATAATATGACTCATATATATATATATATTGTTGACAAAGCATCACTCTGCTCAGAATCGTTTTTTATAAGAAATAGTTTATTGTTGCTTACAGATATACATCAAATTATCTATAACAGTGGCTGCACCTGTCCCTATTATCCTAGGAAGTCTTTTTAAAGTCAAATTTATCTCAACATTTGACGTTGAGTTAAAATTGTAGTATATTTCGATTATATTATATACATGATAATAGAAATTTTATTTAGTAAAAATTAGAACTACTAATAACAGTAAAGAAAAGTTAAAAAATCACTGGTTAAAATCTATAAGAAATAATAATGTGGCTAACAATTTTAATGTTGAGGAAAAAAAAACAAAACAAAGATTCATATAATACAAAATTTCAAACATAAGAGGTGAATTTAACTAAATGTAGGTCCTATACTATTTTTATTTTTAATATGTGTATGTTTAATATGTTATTTTTATACATGGATATTGGTGCCTAAAGTCTATAAAATACATTATATAGTACACAGGTTTTTTTTTTACTGTTTAATACATTTTGCTTAAATATATAATAACTATTTTAACTGTCAATATGTGGAAATTAAACTTTTAACTATAAAAAAAAAATCTAAAGGATTTTTAAAATAATTGTTTTTTAATTAATTATATTATTGAGAAGGATATAGTTAAAAATTGTGTAGAATTAAGTAAAATATGTGATTATATTGACTTTTTATACTTATGTAAACTATTAACTTTTGTTAATTATCTTAAGCCTTTGATTGATAACTGTTTAATGTCTCACCAGTTATGACTATAGACATAATTATTTATGTTATATAATATACTGTATTATTATTTTTAAGTCGATTTGTTTTCTTTTGATCATTTTAATATTAAATGTTTCAAATGCATTACAAAAAACACCCGACAAAGAATATAAGGATGCATTGGGAACGGGTAAAAAAAGACAAGGAAAAAAATGGCCCATAAATAAAGACTTAGCAAAAAAATCTCCCCACATTGATTTCCTTTCAGAAATGATGCTACACATAGAAATCCAAGCAAATCTTTGCTCCAATCAGAATTTAAAATTAGTCAAGTGTCACATAACATTTAGAGTAGTGGTTTCCAACCATTTATTTCTACTCCCCCTATTGTAGACAAAATTTAACCATTTTTCCCTGAATGTCTGATCAGAAGGGACATAGTTCACAGTTATTATTTTTCATTATCTAAAAATAAAATATAATAATACTACACTCACTTATGGAAAGTAATATCCAGTAACTTTGTTGACGAAGTTCTAGCTCGATGACAACTGTGCATGATATATTGATATAATTAAAAAAACATGGTAAAATCATTAATCTCTCACTAGACATTCGGAATCCAAAACCATAAACAAAATTATTATGACTAACTATAACATACCCGTATGGCTATATAACATGGTAACTTAATTTAAATATAAGTACCTATTGTAAAGATATGTATTGGTTATAGTTTTAATAACCACACCCCAAAAATTGAAACAAAAAGTAATTGTATTAATAGAAGGTACTATGTATGTTGTACAACTCGCCAATGCTCATTTTTATATTGTAAGTTATCAGTATTTTGAATTTCATGATATTAAATATTAAGTATATACCCATAAAAAAGTAGCATTTTTTTCATGGTGAAATTCCGATTGCTCCATTACTCAATAATTTTGTTTTACACTTTATATATATATACTATCCAAAATAGAAGAGTGAATTATTTAAAACATTTTTTTATTCAGAGCGTTAGAACTTTAGATAATATACAATGGATAGAGCCACAGATTATAGATTACAAATAATATCGATAATGTACATGTTAGCAACAAGTAAGGTGAGTTGCCTTCAATGCATACCGGGGACATCACATATATAATCAAATTATCAAAATAAATATTTTGATCTTATCTATAATGTTTTGGCGGGTTACACCAAGACACAAGGTTTATGATAAGGTAATGAAGAAACTTTTATTTACAACATAAAGACAAAACAAGTGATCGCCAGCAGACGGCTTTTGACGGAGGAAAAGGCGAGCACGCAACAATTAAAACAACATTAGTTAAGAAAAACAATTATACATAATAATTATTCGGAGTCGAAAAACAATGCTTCGCGTAAGGCGTCGGTGCAGAGAGAGCGAGCGGAGCTGTGGACGATGACCGTTAAACGCCGACGGCGAGGGGCGTGGCCGACGTACGCCGCGAGCGACGCGCAGCGGGATGAAGATATGTGACGCGAAACCCACCACAATGTAATATAGGTACTTTATACAAAATTCATTTATAACCAATTCAATAAATTCATCAATGAAATGTAATTATTATTTTCATTTTTCTTAAAAGTTATTTAATGTTTACTACATTATTTTAAGGCATAGGGGATAAATATAAAGACTACTTACATTGCTGTGACTCCATCCATTGTATATGATCTAAGTTTAAAATACACTTTAAGGAAAAAAAATGTACACAAGTGCTAAACTATATTTGTTCCAATAATTTCAAGACACATATAGATAACACAGAATTAATATCACATAAATGTATATGATAGATTTTGTTATTATAACACTGATGGTTGTGTAGAAAAAGTTAACGATTTCAGAGATAATGAGTGTCTCACAAAAGATTTATCACTCTGTATATAAACATACTCATAGGCAGAAATTATTTTATGTTATGGTAGGGTTCAAATAGAT